ACTTCTGTTTTGTCTGCATTCAGAAGGAGAAAGTTAAGATTCATCCAGATTTTTATGTCTTAAAGAAATGCCTGTAATCTATGTAATGGGTTAGCTTCATCTGGATTTATAGACAGATATAGCCGAGTATGAAAACTTTCCTTTTTAGAAATGGCTACAATTGTTGATTTTTGAATGTATTGATTTTAATGATTGTCTTTTTACTCTGTTTTTAATGTTATGGTCTTTTAAACTTGTTTTAATTTTCCCTTTTTTAAATTTAGCACTTTGACTTCAAATCTCAAAGTGCTACAAATGTAAGGTGCGTTACAAATAAAATTCATTATTATTATTATTATAGTATCATCAGCATAACAGCGGCAATTAATCCCATGCTGTCTAATAACTCTGCCAATTGGGAGCATGTATAAAGTAAAGAGAATTGGTCCTAGCACTGATCCCTGTGGTACTCCACAGGAAACCCTGGAGCACGAGGAAAATGTATTGTTAATGTGATTTTTAATTTTTTTTTTTATTTCAGACATACACGTATAATCCATCCATCATCTGACACGCTTGTCCCAATTGGGGTCGCGAGGGGTGTTGGTGCCTATCTCCAGCTGTCAATGGGCGAGAGCCGGGGTCCACCCTGGACAGGTCGCCAGTCCATCCCAGGGCTACACGTATAATAAAGACAGTAAATGTCCATATAACAAAAATTAAAACAGTCTGATAAAGGATGTACTGGCAGAAGCAAGAAGCTTATAATGCCCACCCTCCAAAGCCAATTTACATTGGACTAGAAAGTAAAAGTATATAAATAAATAAAAAGATGGCTACCATTTATAATACATACCAACGTATGATTTTAGGAAAATTATTATTCTACAATAATAACATTTTAGGAAAAAGAAAGAAAAAAAAAGGTAACGCACCCAATATATATAATATATAATAATAATGCTCTTAATTGCATTCACATGTTTGATAATTTTCTATAGTATTATTCTTAAATATGTTTTTAAACCTTGTTAATGTTGTACAATCTTTTACCTCCTGATCTAATTTGTTCCATACATCAACCCCAACAAAGTAAATACAATGTTGTTTTACACTTGTTCTTGCTTTTGGTTTTCTGTACTTTTATACCCTCTGAACAAACTGTTGTTCAGAGGGTATAAAACCTTGTTTTTTTTTAACACAAACTGGTAAATAAAGATGATTCTGATTCTAATGTTACATTTTACTTTATTTAACACTGTGCACCATGAAATCTTAATTTTACAAGGCAAACTGTTCCAATAATTTAATCAAACAAAAAAATTGTAAAACATTTTCTTTCTGTGAAAATGCATATTAATTAATTATTATTCTATATCCAACATTTATTAATCGTATTAATAACTACCATGGTCAGATTTTTTCATATGTAACAAATCGTGTAAGAGAATTCAAGAAATGCGAAAATTTGATTAGATCTAAAAGGTTTTAGTGAAGGGAGGTGATCAATCCAAACGAGTTTCTCCCAGCAGAAAGTTTAATCTGATTGTTGCTAAGCAGAAGAAACAAACACGATTTTAAGAAACTTCTAAATCTGAAATTTAGTAGCTGTTAATCAAGCAATAACATTTTTTCAGTGGATCCACCAGAGAGAACCTATTACCAGCTTATTCACCAACAGCTGCTAGAATGTGTTTAGTCCAGTTGAAAACCTTTCCATTTACTAATCAACAAATAGTTAAACCGCATATGTTTGAATGTATTATGTTGAAACATGTCTCTGCTAACTAGGAAAACATATTTATCTTAGTTGTAGATTTGTTTTAGATGTCTTATGAGACTAAATGTGGAGAAAAACCGCAGCTCGCTCCACAAAATCACAGCGCGTCTGGCAGGTTTAGAAGCTCCTAAAACAAAATTACAAAATCCTGAAAACCAAAGAGGACTGAAGCAGATCGAGGGGAGGGTTTTCTCCCTTTTACGATATTTTTTATGACATACTGCCTCCATTTAATAAGGATTTTGAGCCTAAAATGTAGCAGAGAAAACACAAACATGGCCATGTTGGAGGCAGCGAGCGAGCGGCATGCCCGGGTTGTTTCTTCCCGGTTCTCATGTGTGTTATAAACTCCGCCTCCTGCTCAGAGTTTCAGACGTTCAGAGGAACATTGAGAGAGAAACATGGCAGAAGAAGCTCCAGCAGCTGCACCGGCTAAAGCCCCGGCAAAAGCCCCGAGGAAGAAGTCCGCTCCTAAGGCCAAGAAGGATGGACCCCCCCTGTCCAAGCTGATCGTGGACGCCGTTGCCGATTCCAAGGAGCGCAAAGGAGTGTCTCTGTCGGCGGTGAAGAAGGTCCTGGCTGGTAAAGGGGTGGATGTCGCTAAAGCCAACAAGCGCATCAACACGGCCGTCAGCAAGTTGGTCACGGCAGGTAAGCTGGCTCATACCAAAGGGACCGGAGCCTCTGGCTCCTTCAAGCTCGCCAAGAAGGAGTCCAAAGCCGAAAAGCCAGCCAAGAAGGTGGTGAAGAAAAAGGCTCCCGCAAAAGCCAAGAAGCCCGCTGCCAAGAAGGCCACCACCCCTAAAAAACCCGCCGCTAAGAAGGCAGCAGTCAAGAAGTCTCCGAAGAAGGCAGCAGCGGCCAAGAAAACCGTGAAAAAAGTGGTGAAGAAGAGCCCCAAAAAGGCCGCGGCTGCTAAGAAGCCAAAGGCTGCTGCTAAGAAGCCTGCAGCCAAGAAACCTGCAGCCAAAAAACCCAAAGCCAAGAAGGCCACCAAGTAGATTGTTGCTTCAAGCGGCTTTCGCTGCACCAAAGGCTCTTTTAAGAGCCACCACATCAGAACTAAAGAGCATTCCGAATATATCACTCCTCTGTTATTTAGATGCGCATTAAGGTATTGATTTTTAAAAATGATGAGTCTGCTTCCATTTTAGATAGATGACTAAACAATTAATAAACAATTAATTAAGGTCATTTTTTTTTTTGGCTTTATGTTTAGTTAACCTAAACATAAAGCTACGGATGGTAGTTAATATTGAAAATTAAACACTGTAATGTTCAAGAACAACATACTGCCATATGAAATGAATTAGTCATACTTCATGAGCTCAGACTTCATTTATAGTTACAATTTCCTTGTGTGGCCTCTTAACATAATGGAATGATGCATATAAGAAAACAGTTAAGGAACTGTTATTTCATTGTTTTACAAGAAACAATGATGAAAATGTAAAAAAATCTATAATTATGTAGGGATCATATAATCTTGCTTAGGTTTAGACAACTTTTGTATACACAGTGTATACAAATCGAAATTATATTAACATTTTGTGGTAGTTAGGGGGGCAGGTGAAATATTCCTGGCAGTTTGGAGACATCAATGATATTTCTAGAATCTAGAAGTAAAGGACTCTTAAAACTTCCCTCCTTTATTTTGAAATTTACAATCCACCCAATAGCTGAGCCTGAAACGTGTTCCGCCCATCAAAATGTGAGCCAATCAGAGCTTACTTCGAGCTGGTGTTCCCTTTATAAACCCCACGTCCCCACGGCTGCTCATGTATTTCTTCAGCTTGATAGCAGAAGTAAAGAAGCCATGGCTAGAACCAAGCAGACCGCCCGTAAATCCACCGGAGGAAAGG